AAGACCTGGAACTAACCCAAATGCCCATCGATGATAGACTGGACTGGAAAAATGTGGCACATATACACCATGGAATATTATTGTGTCGTTTGTAGGGACATGGATGAATCTGGAGAACATCATTCTCAGCAAACTGACACAAGAAGAGAAAATGAAATACCGCATATTTTCACTCATAGTTGGGTGTTGAACAATGAGAACACATGGACACAGGGAGGGGAGCACTACACACTGGGGTCTATTGGGGGAATAGGGGAGGGACAGTGGACGGGGGAGCTGGGGAGGGATGGCACGGGGAGAAATGCCAGATGTGGGTGAAAAGGAGGAAGGCAGCAAATCACACTGCCACGTGTGTACCTATGCAGCAATCTTACATGTTCTGCACATGTACCCCAAAACCTAAAATGCAATTAAAAAAATAAGAAGAAGAAAAAAAGAAACCAAAGAGGCTGGGTGCAGTGGCTCATGCCTGTAATCCCAGCTCTTTGGGAGGCTGAGGTGGGCAGATCACAAGGTCAAGAGATCAAGACTATCCTGGCCCACATGGTGAAACCTTGTCTCTACTAAAAATACAAAAAGCCTGGCATGGTGGCAAGCACCTGTAGTCCCAGCTACTCAGGAGGCTGAGGCAGGAGAATTTCCTGAACATGGAAGACAGAGGTTGCAGTGAGCCGAGATCATGCCACTGCACTCCAGCCTGGTGCCTGGTGATGGAACAAGACTCTGTCTCAAAAAAAAAAAAAAGAATATGTGACGCCAGGTAAGAAGTGACAGCTCATATTAACCCCCATCTGGAAGCTCTGCTCCATCTGATGCAGAGAGAATAGAAAGAAATCCATCCCAAAACATTGAAATAGCTCTTAAATGTGTTTTACTGTTTATTAAAGCCACAGTTTATGCTTTCCTGATCTTTCCAGGGTTCCAGGCCCACCTTGTCTTCTCAGTTTGCTTCCCCAGGCCCCTGAACATGGCCTGGGGACAGCTCTGGTCCTCTGGATGGATGTCTGTCTGATGAATGTGCAGTCACTGCCCACTGTGAGTTTTTTGCAGTAGTGGCAGGAGGCTTGTGGGGTGGGTATTATACCTGGTGAGTCATCAGACAGCCATTTAGGAGACATCACTTATTTTTGTCTCATAATAAAAACTGAAAGTTGAGGCCTCTACAGAATAAAATAGGAAGGGCAGAAAACTGGTCTGGGACTGAGGTTGGGTGGCGGGGACATGGGCAGGAAATTGACTTCAGTTTAGACTCCGATTGTGTGTGCCTTGAGAGTCCAAGCCCTGCTATCAGCTGAGCATGCTACTTCAGGTGAGGAGATCAGCCTTAAGAATCAGCTTATGAATTTTCAGACCCCTGAAGACAACACAGAAAACAGGAGAGAAGGAGGGGCTGGCCAGGGAAGGGGGCATCATGGGCAAGAGCAAAAACACCACTCAGAAGATGAGAGAGGACAACAGTTAAGGCCTAGCAAGAGAAATGTCCTCTGGTCAGAGTGTCAAGGCAGGTGGGTGCAGGGGCTTGGGGCCAAGTGGCAGCTTGCCCATTCTGGTGGCTGCACCTAAGATGGACTGGGTTGGTGACACCCCGAGGTGTGCATTGGGCTGATCAGTATTTTACTGAAAAGCCGAGAATGCTTTGGCAGCATTGAAACAACATTTAGGTCTGGCAGTGGCTCAGATTCACATATTTAAGTAAAAGACCCCATTTTCTGGGCCATCAAACTGCCCATGGACAAGTTGCATGGTGACAAGAGACTGTTACCACCCCAACTTGCCTCTAGCCTCAGAGATGTTAGAGTGAAACACAAAATCAGTGGTCACATGTAAGCAGTGATGTGTGTGTGAGGTTAGCCATGAGTAGCTATGGAGTGTATGGAAGAATATCAGGAAAATACCACCAGTCTGTGAATTTGAGGCTGCCTAAGTAAATTACGGTTTCTATTTACCAAGTCCCATGTTTTATAAAGATAGATGAAGAACTTTCTCCTTTTTTTTCCTTTGAGACAGAGTCTCGCTGTTTCACCAGGCACAAGCCTGGAGTGCAGTGGCATAATCTTGGCTCACGCAACCTCCGCCTCCCAGGTTCAAGCAATTCTCCTGCCTCAGCCTCCCGAGTAGTTGAGACTATAGGTGCATGCCACTACACCGAGCTAATTTTTGTATTTTTTAGTGAAGATGGGGTTTCACCATGTTAGCCAGGATGGTCTCAATCTCTTGATCTCATGATCTGCCCACCTTGGCCTCCCAAAGTAGATGAAGAACTTTCTCTATGCACCATGAAAAAAATCTCCAAACTACATTTAAGTTAAAAAAAAAGCAAAGTGCAGAAGTGTGTGTAATATACCATCTTCAATATTCAATTTGAAAAAGAAGGAAAAAAGAATAATCTATATTCACTTTTTTGAGACACAGTCTTGCTCTGTCACACAGGCTGAAATGCAATGGTGTGAACTTGGCTTACTGCAATTTCTGTCTCCGGGATTTAAGCAATTCTCCTACCTCAGCCTCCCGAATAGCTGAGATTACAGGAGCCTGCCACCACATTTGGGTAGTAGAGACAGGGTTTCACCACGTTGGCCATGCTGGTCTCGAACTCTTGACCTCAGGTGATCCACCTGCCTTGGCCTCTCAAAGTGTTGGGATTGCAGGCATGAGCCACCAGGCCTGGCCTTAATTATTTTTATTTATTTATGTGTTGCTTTTTGTAGAGCCCGGATTTTATCATGTTTCCCTGGCTGGCCTCCAGAGTTCCAACTCTTGGGCTAAAAGTGATCTGTCTGCCTCTCACATCCAAACTGCTGGGATTACAGGCATGAGCCACCACACCTAGCCTATTCATGACTATGTTTGCAGAAAAGAAACTCGGGCTGGGCATGGTGGCTCACATCTGTAATCCCAGCAGTTTGACAGGCTCATCCAGGTGGATCATGAGGTCAGGAATTCAAGACCAATCTGACCAAGATGGTGAAACCCCATCTCTGCTAAAAACACAAAAATCAGTCAGGTATGGTGGCACATGCTTGTAGTCCCAGCTACTCAGAAGGCTGAAGCAGCAAGAGAATCGCTTGAACCCAGGAGGAAAAGGTCACAGTGAGCTGAGATCATGCCACTGCACTCCAGCCTGGGTGACAGAGCAAGACTTCCTCTCAGCAAAAAAAAATTTTAAAAACCAAAAAAAAAAAAACAACTCTGGGCCAGGCACAGTGGCTCACGCCTGTATTCCCAGCACTTTGGCAGACAGAGGTGGGCAGATTATGAGGTCAAGAGATTGAGACCATGGTCAAACCCCATCTCTACTAAAAAATACAAAAATTAGCTGGGTGTGGTGATGCGCATCTGTGGTCCCAGCTACTCGGGAGGCTGAGGCAGAAGAATTGCTTGAAACCAGGAGGCAGTGGTTGCAGTGAGCCAAGATTGTACCACTGCACTCCAGCCTGATGCCTGGCGACAGAGCAAGACTCTGTCTCAAAAAAAAAAAAAAAAAACTCTGGAAGGATACATGAGAGGCTAATACAAGTGACAAGCTGTGAGGGAGTTCGATTAATGTCTTCGCTTGGATGTTATTGATTTTTTTTAACTGTGTTGTCTATTTGTGTTAGGCAGAATGGCTTCCTAAAGATCTCTGTGCCCTAATCTTAAAAATATGTTGTATTATACACAGCACAGAGAACTTTGTGGATCTAATTAAGGTCGTGGACCTTTAAATGAGGAGATCAGCTGGAATTATGGAGGTAGACCCAATCTAATCCCATGAGTCCTTAAAAGCAGAGAGCTGTCTGTGGCTGAATCCAGAGAGATTGAACATAAGAAACCAGCAATTTGAAGGGTGGCAGGGACTCAGAGCCTACAGAAAGCATGACAGGGAGTGCAGCACCCTCCAGGAGCAGAGACATTCCCCAGCCGAGAGCCAGCAAGGAAAGAGGGATCCCAGTCACACCACCTTCAGGAGCTGACATTAGCCCACCGCCTGCATGAGTGTAGGAGCAGGCTCTTCCCCAGAGCCTCCAGTCAGGAATACAGCCATGCCAGCACCTCGTTGCAAGATCTTAAACAGAGGACTCAGCTGACCATCCCTGGACTTATTTTTTAATTTAGAGACAGACCCTCATTCTGGCGCCAAGGCTGGAGTGCAGTGATGCCATCATTCTTACCTCACTGGAGCCTGGACCTCTCAGGCTGAAGGGATCCTCCCACCTCAGTCTCTCTCCTGAGTAGCTGGGACCACAGTCACGTGTCACCACACCTGGCTAATTTTTGAAAAAAATTTTTGTAGAAATGAGGTATTGCTAGGGGCCAGGATGTGGAGTCGGGAGCAACTGTTCCTGTTCCCAGACCTCCCAACACTTGTCAGGTACCTCTCTGGGTGCTGGCTTTCTGAATCTATAAAAGGGTCTCATAATTCCTGCTCAGGGAGCTGTCAGGTTAATTTATGCACATGAGGTTAGACTATGAAATGTTTCCTCATTTCCACACACAGGAGATAATTCTCACTGACACTGAGACCTGAAGAAAGTGTCCATGTTGAGGACAAAGCCCCCCACCTGCAGCCACGTGGGAGATCTGGAAGTGCGTCCTCAGATACTAGGGCAACTGCAACCCTGGACACCAGCCTGACCATGTCAGGAACCCCTGAGCCAGAGCCTGGATCCTGGCCTGCAGAAACTGGGGAGTAAGAAAGATGTGTTGTTTTTAGCTGCCACATATTGTTACGCCAGAGTCAATAATTAATGATGGGAAGTGACAATAAAATTTCAGACATTTGGGGGCAGGCAGCTTTGTTCGTGCAGGGCGCCCATGCCGCCAGTGTCCGTGAGCCAAGGTGAGGCCAGCTGGGCTGCTCACATCACTCGGCGCCTGGTGTGGCGAGAGCTGCCCGCGGCTCCCACGCGACCCTCCCACAAAGGGCCGCGGAGCTGCATGGCCGCCGCCGCTGGCCGTGACTCACCTCAGTGGGTGTGGAAATTTGTTGCACTTCTTGGGGCTTTGTTTGTTTGTTTGTTTATTATTTTGGACAAAATGTCAGCCCGGGATGTAAAAACCGAGCGAGGAACCTTGGTGGCATTGGGAGCTTTGCAGAAGTTTTCCAAGAGATAACTTCACCAAGATGTCCAGTGATAGGCAAAGGTCCGATGATGAGAGCCCCAGCACCAGTAGTGGCAGTTCAGATGCGGACCAGCCCGACCCAGCCACTCCGGAGCCTGAAGAACAAGAAGAAAGAAAACCTTCTGCTACCCAGCAGGAGAAAAACACCAAACTCTCTAGCAAAACCACTGCTAAATTATCCACTAGTGCTAAAAGAATTCCTAAGGAGCTAGCTGAAATAACCCTTGCTTCTCCTACTTGCAGTGCTGGGCCTAAAGGAGATAACATTTATGAATGGAGATCAAGTATACTTGGTTCACCGGGTTCTGTATATGAAGGTGGTATGTTTTTTCTGGATATCACATTTTCATCAGATTATCCATTTAAGCCACGAGAGGTTACTTTCCGCACCACTAACAGTCAGGGAGTCATCTGTCTGGACATCCTTAAAGACAACTGGAGTCCCGCTTTGACTATTTCAAAGGTTTTGCTGTCTATTTGTTTCCTTCTGACAGAATGCAACCCTGCGGATCCTCTGGTTGGAAGCATAGCCACTGAGTATTTGACCAACAGAGCAGAACACGACAGGATAGCCAGACAGTGGACCAAGAGATAAGCAACATAATTTGCATAATTTGTATGCAGTGTGAAGGAGAAGAAGGCATCTTCTCACTGTGATGCAAATCTTTATAGCCTTTACAACACGGACTTCTGTGTATGTGTTATACTGATTCTACTCTGCTTTTATCCTTTGGAGCCTGGGAGACTCCCCCAAAATGTAAATGCTATCAAGAGTAGAACTTTGTAGCTGTAGATTAATTATGTTTAAAATGCCTACTTGCAAGTCTTGCTTCTTTGGGATATCAAAATGTATTTTGTGATGTACTAAGGATACTGGTCCTGAAGATATTACAGGGCATTTTAGCCTAATTCATTATCTGTATGAAGTTATAAAAGTAGCTGTAGATGACTAGGAATATGTCATTTGTATTAAATCCATATCTGAGTATGTGGTTCATGCTCTTGTGAAAAATGTTTTGCCTTTGACCTTTGTCAGTTTGTAATGAGAGGATTTCCTTTTACCCTTTGTAGCTCAGAGAACACCTGATGTATCATCTCAAACACAATAAACATGCTCCTGAAGGCATAAAAAGATTTCAGTTTGATGTTTCTGCCTGCTCCTGACTCAACAGCTCAGATGGACTAGTCTGCTCAGCAACAGCCCAGCCTGGAATCCACTGGCTCCTGACCTGAGTCACTGAGTTATCACCACTGGGGTGATATGGTTTAAGTCAGTGTCCCCACCCAAATCTCATCCCAAATTGTAATATCCATGTGTCTGAGAAGGGACCTGAGATCTGGTTGTTTAAAAGTGTATGGTGGGCTGGGTGCAGTGGTAATCCCAGAACTTTCAGAGGTGGAGGAGGGTGGATCACCAGGTCAAGAGATCAAGACCACCCTGGTCAACATGGTGAAACCCCGTCTCTACTAAAAATACAAAAAATTAGCTGGGCTTAGTGGCACACACCACTCAGCTACTCAGGAGGCTGAGACACGAGAATTGCTCGAACCTGGGAGGCAGAGGTTGCAGTGAGCCAAGATTGTGCCACTGCATTCCAACTTGGGTAACAAGAGTGAAACTCTGCCAAAAAAAAAAAAGTGTGTAGGCCAGGCATGGTGACTCACACCTATAATCCTAGCACTTTGTGAGGCCGAGGCAGGTGGATCATGAGGTCAAGAGATCGAGACCATCCTGGTCAACAAGGTGAAACACCATCTCTACTAAAAATACAAAAATTAGCTAGGCATAGTGGCATGCGCCTGTAGTCTCAGCTACTGGGGAGGCTGAGGAAGGAGAAATGCTTGAACCCAGAAGGCAGAGGTTGCGGTGAGATCATGCCATTGCACTCCAGCCTGGGTAACGAGAGCAAAACTCTGTCTCAAAACAAAAAACAAAACAAAACAAAAAAAAGTGTGTAGCACTTCCTCAGGTTCTCTCTTTCTCGCTCTTTCCCATACCAGAATGTAAGACATGCCTCTTTCCCTTAGCCTTCCACTACTATTGTAAGTTTCCTGAGGCCTCCCCAGTCATGCAGAACTGTGAGCTAATTAAACTTCTTTTCTTTATAAATTACCCAGTCTTGGGAAATTCTTTATAGCAATGTGAAAATGCACTAATCCATGGAGCATGGCCCACATAGGGTGAAGGAGAGTAGAAGAGGAGTCTAGTTAGCCCCAGAAAATGTCCTGCTCTGTGAATGTGGCTGGGAAATGGTAACACATGAGCTAGCAGAGGAGGTCTGCACAGGCCTCACAGCAAGAAGGGAGATAAGTGGCCATCTAGTGAGCCCCGTCTCAGACTCAGACACTAGCACTCTCCCCAGCGGCCCTAAAGGTTAAGACCTTCAGGAAAGAGGCTCCTCAGGGGCGCCTTCAGATGGGCACCATTCTGGGGACCCAGAGCTTGCCCTGGGAGCACAAGGATAGCTTCTGAGAGCATCTGGCCTCTGCCTGCCCTTCTCAGTGGTCAGGCTGACCTTGAATCTCAGTTCCAGAGAGGGCCAAGGCTCATCCTCAATGCTAGGAAAATGCTAGAAAAGGCCCCCTCCTTCAGTGCCACACCTAGCCTTTGACACCTTGGGCCCTGCCCTCAGTGGGGAGGCTTCTGTGCTCAGCGATTGCAGGGCCACCTCAGAGGCACCTCTGGCTCAAGAGGTTCAAGAACTGATTTGATGTGTGCTGCTCCTACTCCAGGAAGACATCTAAAAGATTGTCAGCTTTTTTTTAAACCTTCAAATTATAACGTATTGGATTATGCATCCATTTTCATAGAAAACAGAGCTACTTGCCCACATATCCTAAGTGATAACCCGCAATGATTCCAAAATAATGTCCTTACACGTGTTTTACTGTTGAGGCAATAATCAGTCTAAATTTCACGTGAGACTCATCTGGGAGCTCTAAAATATGTAAGTAGTACAGCCACACCCCTGGAGAATCTGACTTAATTATCTGTCCTAGATAAAGAGTAAATAGTATAGTAAGTGCTATTAAATTTTTATTATGTGCCCACCTCACACCCATCACACCTATCAGGAGAGCCCATGGCTTGAATACTGGGTATATCTCCAGACAAGTGATCTTGCTGAAACCCCTGAGGATGGGACTTATGTGACCAGATGACCAGCCACAGGCCTGTAGGAAGATGTAATAATCCATTAATGACTTTGGAAGGTGTCACCACCTGCCTGGCTAATAAAGGAAGGTATTTTTATTCCTCTTGATTACAAAGCTTTTGCCTCATGTCATTATTACATGCATATTGTTTTCTTTTATCCACACTAAATTAGTGAAATTATTGGTCTACCAAATGCGTCTGGAAATGAACAGGCAAAATTTCATTAGAATCTGGGAAAACACTGCTCTCTGCTCATATCTGAATAAATCCTTTATTAAACAAAAAGGGCATGGGGATATCAGGGATGTTTTTATAGATGGAAAAGAAAAAAGAAAAAGAAGAGGCTGCTGGTAATGGTGGAAGAAACTGCCAAAAAAGACAGATGATAAGAGCCTTTCGGGTCCTTTGTCCTTGTTCTAAGAATAGTGCATTTTTGCAGCTGAATACATGTGTGATCTGGTCCTGTAGGGCACAGAAGTCTGACAGTCTTCCTTCATTATGTCTTGTTTTCTGTGATGTTACTGGTCACCGTTGGCAGTGCTTCTGTTGGTGTAATCCTATCTGCATTCCTTGCTATTCTTTGAGATGGTCGATTAAGCTTATGTTTCACATTTATACTAGTCTTGTTATTAAATAGTCACTTGGTAACACCTTTAGTGTTCTGTTTTAAACATATTTTTTCATTTAGTGCATGATGAATAAGTCTTTAACTTTCAGTTTCTTTTACTTTAAAAAATTGCATCTTCAATGCATTTGTCTCTTCTTGCATTTCACTCTAAGAAGTCAGAAGGAGCTAAGCTACTCCTTCAACACTTTGCTTAGAAATGTCCTCAGCTAAACATCTAATTTTATCACTCATGAGTTCTACCTTGCACAAAACTCTAGAGCACAGGCACAAGTAAGACAAGTGCTTCCCCACTTGTAATAGGATCATCTTTCTTCACTGTACAAGGTCATGTTCATTTTCACTGGAGACCTCATTAGTGTGGCTGCTGTTGTCCATGTCCCTACCGGCATCCACTTATTGATTACTTTGGTACTCACTAAGAAGACAGAAGATTTTTCTGTAGCTCTTTTTTTTTTCCTAACTGAACCTCCACCAAAATTACCTTTAAGAGTGTGTTCACAACAATTCAGATTTTTTGGCATACACCTCAAAACCCTTCTGGCCTCTGTGCATTACTCAGCCCCCAACACATGCTTAGGAAATTTTAGATATTTGTTATAGCCAAAGCCCCACCTGGGTACCAGTTTCCTGTCTTCACATCACAGTGAGGGTGGCTGTTCTAGACACAGCCAGCATCAGACACAGGGACAGAGAAACACAAAGAGCATCCATAGGGCCCACAGCTGGCTGAGAGGCCCAAGCCCCAGAACATGATTTGTGAGGAAGCCAAAATAACCTTGCTGACTGTCACTCTTACCTCCTAGAATCTCCAGGAGCTCAGAATGCTCAGCAGTCAGCATCACAGAGGAGCAGCACTGGTGTCTCATCTCATCAACTCTCATTTTATACTTTGGGAGCTGAGGTCCAGAGAAGCCTAGGGACAGGCCAAAGCCACCAAGCCCCTGGCAGGAGGGCTTCCCTGGGTGGGGAATCTCTGTGCATCAGGACTCTTGTCTCACCCCCCTTGCAGTTTAGGTGGCCTACTCTGGGGCTCCTTCCTTGTGCTTCTATCCCAAATTGTTCTGAGCACAAAGACAGAGTGCTGCCTCCTTTGGAGCTGAAGACCCAAAGAAGGGCTGACTGAGCTCTATCTCAAAACTATTCAGCAAGCCCTTATAGGAGTCTCCAGGAGGTGCCAGGTTCCAATAGGAATGCTGCAGGTTTGGGAAACAAACAGACCTTGTTTAAAACCCAAATCTGCCACCCACTGGCAGCATAATCTGGGATGACAGTAAGTTAGAAACTTGTCTCAGCCTCAGATTTTCATGTACAGAACTTAGACACAACGCCTACCTAGAGAACTGAGATGACAAACAAAGTAATCAGTCAATCAATCAATCATTTTGTTTCATAAAGCAAACTACAAGGAATTGTTTTACATAAAACCTGTAATTGCTCCTTTCCATCAAAGGGAGATCGAGAATTCGTGGAGAAAAGTTAACATCTGAGTCTTATCATTCAAGGATGCATGAGACTCAGGGTCCGAGGTAGCCATCCCTGAGAAGCTGGAAGAAATGAAGGCTGTGCAGGAAGTGCCTCATCTGGGTTGGGGGAGAGAGTGGAGTCCTGCAGACAGGGGAACAGAAGGCAGGTTACAGAAACCCAGAACAGGGAGACAGTGGGTGTGTGCCCCTCCTACACCTTTCTCAGGGCACTGCCCCAGAAGTGATAAGGCTGTAAGTTGGGTTTATACTTGGACCTGACATTTGTTGAGCACATGATCTTGGCAAAGTAATTTACCTTCTCTGAGGTAAATTACTGTGTCCTAATAACTGTGAAATATGATAAATACACATAGAGTTGGTGAGAGGGCTGTGAGAATGCAGGCAGAGGCCTGAATCCCTGCACACAGCAGGCACCCAGATGCACTGCACGAGGACCCTGCCCATCACTTTCATCAGCCTCAACCCAATGGCACCACAGGCACCCTGGGAATCCTGGGTGCTTGTGTCTAGTTCACTTTCCTTACTGCACAGCTGGAACAGGTGCCAGAAGGTAAGGTGCAGAGTCCAAAGCCAGCCAGGATGAGGTGCTATGTCCTAGGGAGGAG